ATAGGATGAGCAAAATCGAACGGATCTCCTGCTAGAACATGGAAATATACACCGCCACACTGTTTTCTTCTTCTTCTTTTTTTGTGATGGAAATATACACCTCCACGCCACCTCCTATTCTAACCTCCCTCCCCGCGATTCAACCCCCCCATCTCCCCAGTCCCCCTCCCTCCCCCGACTTCTTTCCACAGACTTCGCTCCACCGACCTCCCTCCCCATCTTGACTTCCCTGCACCGACTTCCCTCCGCCGAGTGGCCGACCTCCATTCCCCGAATCCCCTCCCCCAAACCCCCTTCCCATCCCGACTTCCCTCCGTGGACTGACCCCCCTTCCCATCCCGACTTCCCTCCCTGCACTGACCCCCCTCCCACGACTTCCCTTCCCATCCCGACTCCCCTGCCTCCCCTGACGTCCCTATTCCAACGTTCCTGCTCTGATCCCCCTCCGCTGACCTCCCTCCCCCGACCTCCCTTCGTCGACTTCCTTCTGCATCCCAGCATCCCTCCCCCTACTTCCCTCCATCGATCCTCACCTCTCTCCCCAACCCTGACTTTCCTCCACCGATCCCCACCTCTCCCCCGATCCCGGCTTCCCTCCCCCGATCCCCGCGCGCGCGCCTGTTGCGCCATGAATAGCACATAAAAGAGCTGCACCTAAAACTCCAGCAACACCCATCATATGAAAAGGATTTAAGGTCCAATTATGGAAACCTTGAAAGAAAAGAATAAATCGAAAAATAGCTGCAACTCCAAAACTCGGCGCAAAAAACCAACCAGATTGACCTAGGGGAAGACTTATTTATGCCATATAAAGCACCTCTGGATGCTAGTTCACGGAAAACTATACGAGAAACACGAAATAATTTATATACGGAACGAGATCGTCCAGTCAAAATACATCGATTTCTCACTCGTGTCTTGGAACTATTTCTTCGTAATTTGGCTAATTTGAGAGTATATTTAACATATTTGGTTAGGAAGAGCTCCGTTCAGTGCTGGGGCTAATGCGTTAAGTGCCCCTCCTGGGGAGTACGCTCGCAAGAGTGAAACTCAAAGGGATTGACGGGGGCCCACACAAGCGGTGGAGCATGTGGTTTAATTCGATGCAACGCGAAGAACCTTACCAGGGTTTGACATACTGTGAGTCCCTCTGAAAAGAGGGAGTGCCTTCGGGAACACGGATACAGGTGGTGCATGGCTGTCGTCAGCTCGTGTCGTGAGATGTTGAGTTAAGTCCCGCAACAAGCGCAATAGGTACTGCAGTATCCATTTGGTTGGGAATTGGTGCAGCTCTTCCAATCGATAAATCATATTTTTTTATAAAAATGCAATAATTGATTACATTGCTCCGGTATATAAAGAGAACCCAAACGTTATAGAGAAGAATCATTGAAACGATGTAAGCTATTGAATGTTCTCTAGAAAAAGTCTGATTCTTTTTTCTTAGAGAAAATRCCACCAATCTGATATTGAGCATTCTTGGCAAGGAAGGTTAATATAGGTAATGCCATAATATTTTTTTTTTTATAAATTAGACACAGAGTTAGTGATTTGTATCAAAATATTTATTTCTCTAAAAAAGTAGAGTCTATTTATGAAATCTCATCTATCAAATAATAAATTCAATACAACATTAAGATATATTCATTTCTTCCATTATTGATTATTGTATATGTGTATGTAAATGTTCATTAATATATCTCATCTTGCGCCCTCCCTTTCACGCCGCTTAACAACAACATATGATGGTTCGTCCTTCTCCCGCTCCCCCTCCTGCTGCTCCTCTCGCGCGTGGTCCTCCTCCCACTGCGGCTCCTGCTACATATGCGTGTGTGTGTTAGGTGAGATGAGTCTACTGCACCTTGCGATGCAGCGAGCCGCGTTTATATAAGACACAACATACATAATGCCAATAACATAAACATCACAGCATTGAACGAATCACACCATGATCCAAGCGAATATTCCATTCGACTGGGTATGCA